ATTAGTTAGGGTCATAGCTTTGTGTAGAGTTCCAGGGATTGTAACTCAGTTAATATACTTTAAGGTTCTATAAGGCCACTAAAGCACTAGTGGTGAAAAGTTGTTTTGCTAGATAAGTTGTTTCTTTGCATCTAGTCTCACTAAATGCAAAGAATAAGTTTTACATGAATTTTTATCTTTTTGTGTTTTACCTCGTGTCTCAATACGGTAAAGGTATGAATTTTTATCTTTTTGTGTTTTACCTCGAGTCTCAATACGGTAAAGGTTAAGACGTTGAGCCTGGCGCCGAATTTGCTGTCCTTTCCATTCAGCCGGCAGCGAGCGATCAAGCGGTGCAATATTGCTGACTTAAAATATTCATAAATCATACAATAAGGAAGGAGATGCACATAAAGTCTGAAATTATTGTTCGAAATGTTATGATGGCAATTCAAAACTATTTGGACGCAAGATAGCCAAAATGTTACCAAAATAGTTGTTTTGTATTGTAATATGTATAAAGTTAAGCCGTAGTTTTGTTTAGAATGTTTCAATAAATTTCATTAAAACTATATTTGATCACATTCCATTGAGACTATACTTATTTTTTAACTTTAATACTGTTGGTCTGCCAGCCAAATGAAAATTCCGGTGCCTGTTCCCAGGGACCGACGCCGAGCTCAACGTGTTAATGAAAGGCAATAACTCGCTTTAATATGCACAGATAATTTTTGAGGGAATGCATTTAGTTATGATTAAAATAGGTATTAGATAACCTTAGTCATTATGGATTTATATGGCCACTGTCAAATTAAATTTATTTTTTAATAATATTTGTTTTAATTAATTTAATTTGTTTAATATTTGTTTATTTTTTTAATAAATATTTTTAAAAAAACCCTATTAATATCACAATCTTATATAATTTCACAGTTTAAAATACATGCACTTTATGGCATTTGATTTTTAAACAATATTAGGATAATTACACATTAAAAGCTACAAAACATAAAACTCAACAAAATAATTATGCGTCTTTTTAATTTGAAGGCCTGCCCAGACATTTTCACGAATTTATATCAATTTCCTTCTCCTTAAGCATGTTTTCTAACAATTAGAAATTTGTCTCAATATGCAAAACAATGTTCTCATTAGTTTCTGTGTGTTTTATCTCCTAACTGTCAACCTCTCCACAATGTACTACCTATGAGGGTTTTACTTGATCTGGTAAAGGTTAAATAGTCCGACCCCCCCAGACATGAAACGAATTATCACTATCTTATCACTTTATCTTATCACTATTATCACTTTTATCCTTCTGTTAGCTATAAAATTGCACGGATTCTCCAGAAATTCAATTTTCAAGTCGGTTTCTCCCCTATTAATAAAATTCACCCTTCAATTCTAAAAGATTGCGTTTCTGTCTTGAATTCTTGGGGAATTTATAGTATATCGTGTCAGTGTGGTTTAAGATATATTGGCCAAACAAAAAGAGCGTTGAAGTTTCGTATCAAGGAACATGAATCTTATGTCAGAAAAGGCGAAATTAACAAGTCTTCAATAGCGTATCATAGTTGGACATTTAACCATAATTTTGACTTTGGGTCTGCAAAAATTATCCAAAAGGCTTCTTCCATAGGTGAATTGGATTTTCTTGAGGCTTTTCACATTCACAAAGATTTAGCAGGTTTAGTTAATGATTTGAAGTTCAATCCAGTCCTTCCTAATGCCTTTAAAATTCTACTATCTTAATTCAGTTATTTTTGCTGATAGATGGCGTTACCTCCTCGCGTTTGGTACTACCAGAGAGTATAAAAATCCGTTCAGTGGTTGCTTTCCATTATTTGAAGTTAAGATTTCGAGCGTAAATATGCATTTGCCCCTCGCTCCCTATTTTAACTTCGCTAATTTTTCTTGTCCTTTATGCTTGATCAGATAGGCTGGCTCAGTAAAAGTAGGCGGCCAGTGCAACTCTGATTAAAAATCCAGTTTTAACCACGTGCAGTGCTGATAAGGACCACGTTTTTCTAAGACTCCTTCTCCTTTATTTTCTTCTTTCTAGGAATTTCTTTCTCCTGATGAGGAGGGACCTTTAGCTGCCCTCGAAATCGATTGAGTATTTCATTATACCTATGCTAAATACAAGGTTGTTTTTACGATTTTGAAATTATCACTATGTCTGAAAGCATTTATAAATCAAATAATAAATAAATAAAGGTTTAAATAAGCTTCTTATTCAAAAAGAACTTGAAATATATAAGCATGTTCTTATGCTAACAAAATCAATTCAGCTTGTGGTCATGTAATTAAACAAGAAGAATCAAATTCAAACTAAAAATATGGACTAAAATATGGTCAAAGATTATACAGTTAAATTTCAATTTAATCTGGTTCAGTAACTCTATTGTCATAATAAACTCAAATGGCATTGATTTTTAAACAATATTAGGATAATTACACATTAAAAGCTACAAAACATAAAACTCAACAAAATAATTATGCGTCTTTTTAATTTGAAGGCCTGCCCAGACATTTTCGCGAATTTATATCAATTTCCTTCTCCTTAAGCATGTTTTCTAACAATTAGAAATTTGTCTCAATATGCAAAACAATGTTCTCATTAGTTTCTGCGTGTTTCTCCTAACTGTCAACCTCTCCACAATGTACTACCTATGAGGGTTTTACTTGATCTGGTAAAAGTTAAATAGTCCGACCCCCCCAGACATGAAACGAATTATCACTATCTTATCACTTTATCTTATCACTATCTTATCACTATTATCCTTCTGTTAGCTATAAAATTGCACAGATTCTCCAGAAATTCAATTTTCAAGTCGGTTTCTCCCCTATTAATAAAATTCACCCTTCGATTCTAAAAGATTGCGTTTCTGTCTTGAATTCTTGGGGAATTTATAGTATATCGTGTCAGTGTGGTTTAAGATATATTGGCCAGCAGCAGTAATGGAAAGTCTAATAATTACAAATTATCAGAGCTGACAGGAACTAATGAAGGGAGCAAATCGAGGTCAGAAACACACTCGTTTTACACTCCAAAAACGTCAGTTTAAAAATTGTCTAAGTGATTTTTATTCTGGTGAGGAAATAGAAAAGGGAAATTATAGTAAAGGCTGAAATTGTAAACAACTGGGTAATTTACATAACAATAACTGTACATATCTTTGAAGAATAATTTTCTTTCTCTTTACATATTTATTTATTTATTTATTTATTTTTTTCCCCAACATGTTTCTTTTTCACTTTAAATTTTTGGGACTTAATTAAAGATTTCTGTTATTCTAAAAGACTAAATGCATTTAGAATGTATGGAAAAGCTGCTAATTTTATTTCTTTAGTAATATGAACATTCAGAAGAAATATGAAATACATATGGTAAGGTCCGGTCACAGAGTTGGAGTGGCATACTTTTTAGAATTTAAGGACAAACCGAGCAAAAAAATCTAGAAATGGCAAAACTTTTAGAATTTAGAGCAGGCATTGGAAGCAGAACTTAGGATCCACGAGACTGTGTCAGATGGCAAAATGCCTAGTGCCAGCTCTGTGTATAATGCATTAAGACATATTAGATGAATCTTTTGAATGGTCAGTTTTCAATTTCTTTATTAATAAAAAAATTCCTTTCTATAAAGCCTGTCCATATGATAAGATTAGAAGTACTTTTGATACTTTCCATGCTTGTGTCTAGTGCAAAGCAGAGAAAATAAAAGGAAGATAAAAATGTTAAGAAAGTGATTTTAGAATCAAAAGTAATTATTATGTTTACAATTACAATCAATTATTATGTTTCCATTGTTCTTCCAGATGTTTTCCAAAATGTAAGAAACTTTGCATTACTACCATCAAGACATTTTTCATTTTGTCACATTTTTCTGGAATCTTTTAGAACCATGGGTCTATAAATTTGCCTTCAAATCTTTCTAAACTTTCCAAGCTTCAATGTCTAAAATTCTAAAGAAAAATTACCCCCACCAATTCTGTATTAGCAAAAAGCCAGAAACGTTTAAAAAAAAAAATCGGAGGAAAAAAGTGCGAAATTAATTTTATAGAGAAAACTGATGCATATTGTAAGAATTCTGATCATTCTGAGAAATGGGAAAAACTCTTACCATAAAAAAATTAAAAAGACATTTTTAATTAATAACATAGCTATTTTGCTTTTGCTAAAAACTGTTTTGTATACTGTGCTTTATAGCATTATTCCTTGCTTACATCATAATAGGGCTTTAGATTCAAAAAAATAATATGTGGCCAAAATGGAACTTTATAATACGACAGTGAAAAATAAAAATGCTTTATTTTAATGTTATTTCTTAAATATAATTCCAATATATTACCATTATTTTAATGAAATGTATCAATGTTAGAATGTTCTAAAAATCGTCAAAAAATTCCCAGATCTCGGAATTAAAAATTTTCTATAGAAACCGAGCTTAAAATGTTGATAATCGCCAAATTTAGAACCATTTAATAAAAGAATTCACATCCCCAAAAGCGGAAATTTGTTTGAGAGCTCTTCATTACAAAAAATGAAATCATTTTGAAATGCTTATGTTTTACTTCCATATTTGTCAGTGAAGTGCCAAAAATATTTCTGCAAAATGCTAATTCACACCCAAAATGGCAGTCATAGAAACAGACAGAAAATTCAGATGATTAAAATAAGGACCTTCTGCTGATTCTAGCCAAAATTAAGGACCAAAAATCGATTCCAAAAAACTTAAGGACTTTTAAGGACCGTACGAACCCTGTATTAGCATTGACCGAAAAAATGATACAGTACAAAAAAAAAAAAAAAAAAAAAAAAAAAAAGAATTTCTTTAAAGAAATAAAAAAACAAATAAGAGTGAAATTTCAATAAGATTTAAAGGTTCACAAATAACTTTTAATTGATTAAAAACTGTTCATCAATATTTTAATCAAATAGCCAATAAGCTCTAATGAACAATTAAAATAATCATTTTGTGAAATATTGCACTAAATAAATTCCCAGAAATAAGGCTTACATCCATGCACAAATCAGATTCACTCTGTTGTGAATTTCCATTCAATTTGATGCTTGTTGGAGAATGCTCACACTGAGCAACTGAAACATCCACACTACTCTGTTCACTCAATTCTGCTTTTGAAACTTCAGTACCATCATCAGCCTGCAAGATAATTAAGTTAGTTAATAAAAAAATTACAAATATTATACAATTGATTCAAAGATTTTTTTCAATTATGACACACATAATAAATATAGAAAACATCTTAATCATGAAATTACAGTCAATCTATAATTATACAGGTATAATTTCACCACATTAGCTATGGAGCTCCACCCTGGTTTTGATGAACACCTGGGAGATCGGAGACATATATGAGGATTTTCTATCCCTCTTCCTCTACCAATAAGCCTCTCTGAAGACTTTTGGTTTGCCTGTATTTTAAGTGCCCCCTGTATCGCACAGACACCGTACACTTACAAACATCCCTGCCTTCTCTGGAATTCGAACACGAGCCCAATGATATAGAAGCCAAGAGTTCTAACAAGTATACCAAAAAAGGTGGCAGTTTCCCATACAAGGACACAGGAAACGAAAACAAAAAAAGAACCTACTGTTTTCACATTTTATAATGCTTTTAGGTGGTATTACAGAAGATGATTTACATATTCTATCAAGATCTAAACATGTACAAATATTAACCTTACTGGATTCTTTCTTCATGAAGTTACATTTTGGATAAACAGCAGAGAATATACACAAAAACTACAATTTCATAAATTTTTAGTCAGTATACTTTTAGAAATGAATACAGCATTATGCAAATAATTAAATTCTTATGTTTTTATTATTAGAAAACAAAATATAACATACTGCAGGGGAAAAATATCTGAAATAACTTAAATTGATTCATACTGATTTCTTTACCAAAGTTCAGCTATATTTATTCTACATAGAAAGGAAAGCAATCTTATGAACAATAACACATAATTCAAGAAACGTACGCATGTACTTTTGATGGATGTGTGCATGAAAGAGATATAACAACAGTTATATTTATTTTTAAACTAAATATTTTACAACTTCTTGAATAAAATGCAAAGTAATTAAATAACTTTCCTCAGTGAAAAGTGTGAAAGAATTCTTATTTATTTATTGATGGGATATTTCACTCAATATTTTCATTTCAAATATTAACCTCATCAGAAAATGACCTTAAGATTTTTAAAATGAATTTTTTATATATAAATTTAAATAGTTTTTAAGAATATTTCAATGTTTCAAACCTGCTCCAAACTACACAATACATTGTCTTTCTCCAATTGCTTCTCCTCTTTAATTGTTAGCTCATGACAAAAGGAGCTCCACCTTACGTGAAAGAAGATCTCGTTGCAAAAACAAAATACAGAAGGTGTTTAATCATTTTTAGAATGTTTTGGATAAAACATTTAACAAAAAAATTTTTTTTGAATAAAAAATTCTACTAAAAGCTTATTATTTAAAATCAGAAATATCATCTACTGCTTTTCAATTCTTTTAATACGCCACATATAAAGAAGCCATGTATTGACAGATGTAATTTTGCACTTTCTGAAGAGAAATATTCCAATTCCACAATTAAAAAATGTTGTGAAATGCACAGTATTAAAATTTTTAAGTAAAAAACAAGCAACATTATTAACTGGAAAGAAAAAACTTTCAATCATTTCTTCTACACAGAGAGAATATCCCAAATGAATATCTGATATACCAAATACCTGTGTACTGCTTCAAATGTTAAATCATTGGTAACAATAGAAAATCTGCTAATTTAAAAATCAATTGCAGACTCTTAAAATACGTCTGTAACAATAATAAATAAAATAATAACCAAGATTTACAACTTAAAAAATATCATGTTCACCTTTTGCCGAGGCATATGGCTCGGTGCAGAACAATTTGAAACGCATGAAAATCATTTAGCAGAAGATAAATGGAGAAAAATTGTGACCCTTGATGAAGCAAGGGTTTACTTACATGATAGCAACAAAAAAAAAAAAAAAAAAAAAAAAAAAGTCTATTATTGAAAACAAAGCGAAAAAATGTATAAACCTGGTTCGGGCAATGCAAAGAAAGTTTCAGTAAGAGGTTTACTATTTTCATGCAGATCTTTATAAAGGGAAATTAAAAAGAAGAGTTAAAAAAATTATTAAAATCAACTCAAAGTATTATCAAGTGGAAGTTTTACATTTGTATTTACAGAAGGACTTCCATTTCTTTATACAATTGACTTTAAAAAGCAGTGAAGCTTCTTCAAGACAAAGCAATAAATCATACTTTGAAAAATACCATTGCATTCCTTGAGAAAATGAAGACTGACACAGATACTGCATATATACCTTTTCAATGAATTCCTGTGAAGTTCTGACATTTCACCTATGGACTACTGTGCTTTTCAAGAGAAGACTCTTGAAAAGAGCTCTGTTTTGGTTGAAACCCATGATGATTAACAGATTCTAAAAAGTAATGGAAATTTAATGAAAAGGAATATAGAAATCAGAATGTAGACTTAAGGCTTCATTCAAATGAAACATTTAGTGATCGTTAGTCGTCACACGTCATCAGTTGCTATTGATTTTGCTGTTTTGGTATTCAACAGAAACACAACGATCACTCTAAGCTCGCGATCGATCGTTCTCATAGCGATCACTTCGAACCTAGCATTCCGCGGAGAAAAACGATCGAATCAATATGGCGGCTGTGTTGTTTGTGCTTTCACGAGGACAGAAATCAAGTGTGCTAAAGAAAATGCTTTAGATTTACTGAGTGAGCAGCAACTTATATCAAAGTACAGGGTGTATAAGGTTCCTAGCAAGGGGAGCCGACTCATCATCTGTGTTGTATACAAATCAAGGGCACTTGTTGCTAGCGGATATTGATTTAGCGTTGTGTTGTTTACATTTGTATTGATGGAGTGCTACCTAATTCAGAGAAATATGCGTGGATGCACTGCATCAAATTATTCATATCGTTCCAGAAATAACTTTAGTATGTTCTGTTCCCCGAGAAATGAAGAAAATGGGTAATTAATTCTTGTCCATTGGAATAGATTCCGAGCGCAAGACCGTGCGCTTTTGAAGTAAGTTCACTTCGTATGTTTTCATAATTGTTAAAAAAAAATAAGTGTTCATGTTTTAGAGAAATGTGTATTATTATTTAAGTATTGCTAATTAATGACAAACTGATTATATGTACAAAATGAACATCAGAATGTGTATAGTCAATACACAGATACCGACGGCGATAAGTAGATGTGATTTGTTTTTATTGTTATTATCGTAAAAGGATAAAGTTTAAATAATTATATTTTACATTTGATTTCAATTTTGTGCGCGATTATAACTATGAAGTACCCCTTTAGTTTAATCCTAGTATCCGGTGCACTAGGGATTTGGCGACTTTTATGATGAACAGTGAAAACGGGACATATACGATGGGTAGTAAACTGGTCATTCAAAGAATATATATAGTTATACAAATATACTATGTAGTATGTTTTTTTTTTGACCTTATTATATTTTCAAATCGCGCCAAATCTCGTCATTTAAAGTCGGCCTCCAATGTAAAAAAAAAAAAAAAAAAAATGTAAACATTGGATAATATGATTGAAATTATGCATTATATAATGTTTCCCTTAAAGTAACATTAATATATCGTATTTATATTCATTTTGAAGAAGGTAAGCATCAATTTAGGTATTTATTTAACGAATAATTTTTTTTGACTGTATTTATACATCATGTAGACTGTATTTCCAGCTCTTTCATTTAACTGCGATTGCTGTCAATTTATTTCCAATGTATCAACATAAAATATGTTTTAAAATGCTGTACAAGCTTAGTCAGTGATTCTTAATTTAATTCAGACAATTTTTTATGTGTAATTAAAATAATTTAATAATATATGTTACTGTAATTTACTATTTTTGATTTTAATGTTTTAGAAATTTGCTAAATCAAGTTTATTTTTGTGTGACCTTGCATCAGAGGGCGCCAATGATAAATCTGTTTTGGCTTTCACTGCTAAAGTTTTTAATGAAAAAAGTATTACTGATGTAAAAAGAATGAAAAAATGATATTTACTTCCTAATCAGTGCCTTATGATATTGCAATAACTTAAAAGGCTTCTTACTGTTTCTTAAGTTGCATAACGTGTTTTCATAACTTCTTGTCATCTTTATATTTTATTCGTCTATGTTATCAAATAAATATAAAAGGTATGTTTCTAATTAAAAATTCTTCCTTTCATAGCAGTGTTATGTACCATGATGTGATATGTGTTGGCGTTTATTATATAGTATGAACATTATTCGGTCTCTTCTGTTTTGAGGGAAAAAATTGCCGAAAGTATGCCAAAGCCAATCAGCACATGCGCCAAACCCGCAATCACGTCGCGCTGGTTCAGATGCGTAAGTTATATAGTTCTATATTCTTAGAGCCAGAAATTAGTTAATTTTAAATCCTTTTTGATATCCTATGGATTTAACAATTGGGAATTGCCCATGATGAAAAGTCGGCAATAGAATTTTGGGTAAAGTGCAGAATCACTCACTGCTTGACGCGTTTTTAAGAATTGCACATACTCGGTATCCATGTGCACATCAACCTATTTTCACTTTTCAAAAAAAATCTCAGAATTGCACAAAAATGGCACTGCGCACCCCCTTGACTTTATCTATGTACACATTGACCTATTTTCTTTTAAAAAGTAAAATAAAATTGACAAAAATCCAATTGTTTTTACCCTTGTAAAAAGCGGCAAACAAATAAGTGAGCCATTCTGCACTTTACCGAGAATATTTTCAAAGAAAAGGCATCATTCATTATAGAAAATTACGTTGGAACAACCAACGAGATGAAATTATGCTTTAGCGATAAGTCGGTAGCCGAAATAGCGATGCAGGTATCCATTCAGTTATGTTTAGCAATTTTATATAAATTATGATAATGATCTGAAATAGGTATTTACTCTTATGCTTCCATTCAGTGTCGTGTTTAGCCTTTTCATATAAATACAATAATAAAAGTATTATATGAAATAACCTTTCCTCAAATTAAAACATCAATCTTAGATAGTTATTTGCTATTATACTTCCTTTCTTGCCGCAATTATTTTTGGCAGCATTGGCATCAACAATAGTTTGGCGATTTGTTACGGCCCTCGAAACCGAATAGTACCCATTATTCATTATAAAGTGTTATGTATTTATTAAATATATGTAATTTACATCATTATGTATTACATAAAATTTCCTTTTAGAATATATTACAATGTATTTTTTGAGTTGTTAATAGAACTAGGTACATTTTTATTTTCTTTTGCTTTAAAAGTTCTTTTGAATCACTTTTTTTTTCAGTATGCACGTAAACCTTACTTGACCTATATTTTTCACATCTATGTGATTTATGTGAATGGAATGTGTCTTTTAGGTTAGCTGTTTTCATAAAAGAATTAAGATAAAATGATACCCTTTGAAGAATTTTCATGGATAAAACTTTGAAACAATAATGCTGAAAAGCAAAAGACAGCACACTGTAACAGCTTTACATATTATTAAAATCTTGTAGTTTAAATAATTTAATTAGATGAACATTAAGGTATTTGTGAATGGCAATATTTGAAACCAGACTCGAGTGCCACGTGCGACTCTCGCACGAAAATGTAATTTTTTTAAATGTTAGAATATGTTTTTATCTTCTTGTTGTATGTCGCCATTTTTGAAGTGTTAAATAAAATTTATGCTGTGTTCCATCATTGAGTTTCTTCATATTGCCAAAGAAGCATTACAGTCTTAATTATTTTTGGAGGCACCGACAGAGATCGAATAATCGTGCGTATTTTATTTTATTAGTTCATCACTGAACATAATATTAGTGATACCAGATTATTACTTTCTGAATTGCTTTATGTTATTAGTTCATCACTGAACGCAATATTAGCGATATCAGATTATTACTTCCTGTTAATATGAATTGCTTTATTTATTAGTTCATCACTGAACGCAATATTAGCGATACAGATTATTACTTTCTGTTACTATTGAATTGATTTATGTTATTAGTTCATCACTGACACAATATAGCGATACCAGATTATTACTTCCTGTTAATGTTGAACTGTCTTATTTTATTACTGTTTTGGATATTA